TATATATATATATATATATATATATATATATATATATATGTATACCGTGCAAGAACTAAGCTATAGTAGATCTAGCTAGTAGAAAGCAAGAATAAGTAACTAGCCTACAGTTATAATATATGTACTAGAGCATGAATGTTACATCTAATGAACAAGCTAAGCTACGCTATGTCCAGCATAGAACCAGACTCTACCAAATCCTTCATGGAAACTGGCGCTAAAGGTGAATGATGTGTGATGCTTGAACATTAGAGGTTGCCACAATGCTCACCACTGAAAACCACTGATAATGAAATATCACACTGCTAACCACTGATCTATATAAAACTATATATATATAATTAGTGATATATGGATCAGTGCTGCTATCAGTGATGAGTGATGTTTATAATCACCAGATGTCGCCACAGTATGATGCTACGTGGAGTACCTTTATCTTTATACAAAGGCGCTCTTAAGCTGGGTTACACTACCGACTTTATGCTGTCAAATTGTCGAATTGGACCAATTTCGCAACTATACAACTGACAATCGGCAGTGTACACGTAAAAGTTGCGCGACCAACTTATCGATAGCAACTTGTTGGGAACATGTTCTATTTTTGTCAACTCGGTGTTGCCGAATTGCGAAATTGGTCCAATTCGTCAATTCGACAGCATAAAGTCGGTAGTATAAACCCAGCTTTCTTCTAACACTAATGAGTGATAGCTATGAACCACTAGATGTTGCCACAAGACATGTAAAAGAAGAGTCTACGAATCCAGCGCTAGTTCATCACATATTCCTCCCAATAGATGGCACTACCAGTTATCTCTCACGTCTCTTTTTCTCCTTTTTTGAATTTCACGAAAAACAGCAATGGGTGGGTGCCGGTGCTGCCATCTATAGGGAGGTAGTGTGAACTACGGTCAGATTCTAAGACTCGATGTGAGTGAGATTTATGACTAAGAACAAGAGAAGGACATACGATACCCAAACGAATACATACTGTTTGTTTTACCTTTTCTATGTTGGCAATGAGAAGAGCAACATCTAGCAGACCCATAGCTATAGTTTTCCTCGTGCAGTAGCTGTTCATGTCAATCTTCTTTATCGGTTTCACGACCACTTCCGGTTCCTGGTCCTACAAACAACAATAAAAACAACAACAACAATAATAATGCTGACGTCTGATTGGTGGAGAACACCGGTTGTCGATTAGTAGAAGTTTGGCCATGCTGACTGTTGATTGGTTGGAAGTTCAGCCATGCTCGCAGCTGATTGGTTGAAAATCAGCCATGCCGTCAACCAATCGGTAGAAGAGAAACGTAAGCTACTATGGGGATGGGACCCGATGCCCCGAATAGACGGACTCCACCGGATGTTGCAGCGCCACCTACCGCCGACAATCCGCATTACTCATGATGTTTTCATGCATTCATTCATTCCCTTCGCTACCAGTAGGTGGCAGCACAGCATGCATCTACGAGTAATGGGTAAGGGGTCACTGTCGACTAGCATGGACACTCTACTAGCCAGTGTCGAGAGACCAGCGTCGTTACCATCTCACTGTAGCTGCATCTTCCGTTGACGAGTTGTGTGAGCGTGCTTCTCATGGTGAGAGTGTTCTGACGCGACCCTCCTTCCATCGTGGCAGAAGAAAGAACAGAGCAACCAGAGAAACAGGAGTAGGGGAGTCAGAGAGAAGGAGAGAGAGAGAGAGAGAGAGAAGACGAGCGAGAGAGAGAGAGACGAGAAGAGAGAGAGAGAGAGAGAGAGAGAGAGAGAGAGAGAGAGAGAGAAGAAGAGAGAGAGAGANAGAGAGAGAGAGAGAGAGAAAAAAGAAAAGAAGAGAGGGAGAGAGACCGACCGACACACACACACACACACACAGACACACAGAAAGAGAAGGGTGGTAAGAGAAGGAGTGACTCCTCAAAGAGGGAGAGGGTGCGGGAGAGAGGAAACACGCCTGACACAGGAACACGAGTGGATACAAGGAATAGTGAAATACACGCAGCCGTACACACGCGCCCGTACACACACACACACACGCGCCTTCACACGCACTTCCGCACTGACGGAAGAACACACAATGCTCTGCTGCCAACCACTGCACTGCCACCGCCGCCGCCGTGGTCGTCGTCGTCGCCACGCCACCGTGACCACGCCGACGCGTCGAAATGAAAAACCCAAAACGTCGGCACACAAGCAAACTTTCGGAATTATATCCAATTTCCAATTTTCGTAAATAGGTGCACTAATAGGTAAAGTGGGTTGCCGGACGTGATTCATTAAGGCTAGGCGATGCCGGTAGCGGTGCAAAGCAGGCAGTGGCTGCTTCGCTGGTAGAGAGGGAGAGAGAGGGGGAGAGAG